TTATTGCGAGTTCACTTACAACATATATTGAAAATTCATCATAGAATCAATAATTGATTATTTCAATAAAACGTCAAATACAATTTTAAATGTCATTGGAAACCCTACATTAACTTCTATACTTTACACAAGACAAAAGCACAACATGGGTAAAAGATAGAGAGAGAACAAGTAAGAGATCCCTCTTGTAAGTCGAGACGATCGACTGATGTAAATTCCTCAAGTAGTGAAATCCTCTGTAAATCTGTTGACGTAGGCAATTTGTCGAACCACGTAAATTTGTGTTTTCCGTTGTATGTTCTTTTTTGGTGTAAATTTTCGTTCCAATTTTTCGCTTCATCAAAGATCGTTCTTCTATTTTAAATTTCATATATTTCACAACATAACATACATTTTATCTATGAAGATTATCAAGAAAAAGTTACAGAATAAAATGACAAAAATTTTATTGCGAGTTCACTTACAACATATATTGAAAATTCAATATAGAATCAATAATTGATTATTTCAATAAAACCTCAAACACAATTTAAAATGCATTCGAAACCCTAAATTAACTTCTATACTTTACACAAGACTAAAGCACAACATGGGTAAAAGAGGAAGAACGGTCCTACTCCGGAACACATTAAAAAACCTTTTTAATAAGTCAACTTGTTGACATCAAAGAAAAAAAAACTATTAAAATTTTATTAATGTTTGAATAGATTTAATGAATATTAAACTAAATTTTGAATCATTTGTACGTTTCATGTTATGGTATGACTCATATATCATATATGAGATTCGTTCGTGTTCGGTTCGTTTACACCCCTAATGCTATGACTCATATATCATATATGAGATATACCCTAGGTCTTATCCCATATTTTGTATTTGGTACTCTTTTTTGTATATTGAAAAGAAAGTCACCGCTCTGCTCCTGAGGATGAAGACATCTTTGCCGAACCTCGTAAATCTCTGTGTGTTCTTTTCAATTTGTGTCGATTCCTACTTTTCTTTGCCCTAAATTTTTCAACACTCCAAAATGAATTACTACAACTGTTCGCACGGTCACTTCTTTGGTTTAAAGCAAAAGCCGAACTTTTTATTTCCCTGCTCAGCATAAACAAAGCCGAGTTCCAATACTTTTGTTCGAGCTTGAGCAGCAAACTGAGCCTGATCTATTAATCTTTTGCTTTATTCGAACCCCTAATTGAGCCATTTTATTGTTCTATGTTATGTATTATCATCATTATTGTTGTGTGTTTTAATAACAAAGAAGAAATGTATTGTATTTTTATTTTATTTCCGTCATTGTCATCAACATCGTGGGGGCTCGGAAAGGTATAAAGGTGGAGGCATTTGGGAAGTTTTTTCGAAAACCTCCATTCGAGGAGAGCAAAGTACCCGTTAAGCGGGGAAAATTGCGAACTTGTTTGGAGAATCTTTTAAAATCAGGGTTTCATGTTTTTTGCAGGAACAATATTTGAGTAATTTGGAAGCTTTTTTGAAAACCTCCATTCGATGAGAGTACAGTACCGGTTAAGCAGGAAAAATTGTGAACTCGTTCAGAGAAATATTTTTAAAATTGGGGAACTCTCTCCTTGTGATTTGAAATTTTCTGCAAGTACATTAAAGCCCCGTTGCAACTTTAGAAATTGCGAAATTGATTCACTTTTTGCTCTCCAAGCGTAGTGTCTTATAACATTGACCAACGATTCTTTTGAGATAACCGGAAAGGTCGGCACTATTCAGGGCCCTCTAACAAGGTTAGTGTCATGAGACTACTAAAATCTCTGGGGATATGAACCGGTATTTAATTAAAAATTTTAAAATGTTTGAGTTTATAAAATAACATAAAATTTAAACCATTTGAACTTTAAAATGATTTGGATTCGAGCTTCCAAAATTTAACTTTTTAAGATTTTAAAATATTGGGATATGAGCTTTTTAATATTTATTCTTTAAGGTTAAAAAAAAATTAAAGTTATGACTTTTAAAACTTAAGCTTTCAGGGCTTAATATATTAAAAATTAGACTTTAAAATTTAAGCTGACAAGCCTTGAAAATATGACTTAGGCTCCAAGCTAAAGCTTGGAAATCAATTCAAGGTTGAATCTTTCGAATTTAGGGTCTTAGGTGGGCAAAAAATAATTTACATATGTAGTTTTTGTAAAATTTAAAATTAATCACCTCTACTGTCAAATTCATAATACATTTGCTAGCGAACAGAAGTCAGCTCCATTTTAAAGCTTCAAATCACAAAATTTTAGCAAATACTTTAAGCTCTAAATGATTTCAAAATTTATAAAAATTTCGTGATTTTCTCCCAAGTCAAATGAGAAATCTTGAAATGTGAGTCCACTCTTAAGACTTTGATGAGTATCATGTCAGATACTTTTAAGCTATGTATGTTTTGGAGTGTTTATATAAGCAAAGTTAATTGCACTTATTTTCAAAAACAGGCATGTGTCTCTTAATGTAAATTTCATATTAAATTTATGACTTAAAATTTATTCAACTTTTTAAAGCTTATAAAACTCGTTAAGGTATTCAATATATGAAATTAAATTATGCCCCCATATTCTCCAACCAATGTACTGAATGCTCCGATATTAGATTTGAGAATGCTCTACGGGCTAATCGGGCCGCTATGATAGGGTTGTAAGTTCCATCTCACTAGTCTGATCCTCTTCCTTATAAGAGTTGAAGTTGACGAGTTTAGCAATTTTAAGATAAATGTTCAAATCCTAAAGATGAAAATTTACAAGTTCAAATCACATAATCTAATCCTCATACGTATAAAAACAGGAGTTAACGAGACTTACACTTGAAAAGCTTAAACTAACAAAATTTAATAGCCCCCCTCCAAATATAAAGTTTTTAAATGCTCAATACCTCGAAGATGGTCATTTTCTTCAATCAATATTTTCAAAATCCAATTAAAACTAAAGTTAAAAATTAATTGCTTAAGAGTTAAAGCAAACCTCATCCACCTTCTGCAACAATTTGTCAAGGATGACAAACTCATTAATTTCAACTCACAAAAAATGAATGTCACATAAAACATATTAATATATTCACAATCAAAGTAATTGCGTACTAGTAATGACGTAGCCCAAGTCATATATATGTGTAATTCTGTCGTTAAATAACACCACATAATATTGGTTACGACCAGAGCCCTTTATCAGAGTATTTGCCACCAAATGACATCATTATATTACGGTTACGACCATAACCTGTATGTTCCCTAATGGTTTTATATCATTTGTGTTGTGATTCATAATGGTACAATTGATTGGCATAAACATTTTTTTTATTAAGATCGACCAAAATTTTTCTCCTTGGACAAATATCCATCACATATCTAGAAGGATATCTTGGAAGATGCAACTCATAGTTGCTGATAAGAATCATTCTATTAGGTTGGTTCGACTACCCCCTCAGACTAAGTAGATCAGGGACACGACGGGCTGGGATGACGGAACATGGGTTCTTGATCGAGTTGAGTCATCATTCCCCCAGCATCCTCTTTAAGCTTCACGTGATGAATTTTACAATTTAAGATCTTAAGTTTGTTGCTCTTATATGCTCATTTTTCAATCTTTGATGACTGGTCTTAATCAAAAGTGTTTTCTTATTGTTGGAATGGGTAATTAATTATAGGGGTTTACGCCTATGGGAAACATTGAACCTAGAATAAAAAGTTTTCGCAAAATGAGGGTGAAACCACTGGGTAATGTATTATGTACAATTTAATCTGTCTTCTGAAAATTTGATCTTCCAAATCTCAAAATAAAAAAAAAATACACAGAGAGTTTTCCTGGGGAGTGGCCATGAGTTTTTGGAGCCCACACAAGTCAAGGCTAGACATTAGAAATAAGATAAAATGAAAACAAAATCCTCAAGAGACCTCAATAAGCAAGATAAGTAGATTAAAATAGACTCCTTTTATGCTCGAAGTCTAGAGCACCCAAGAAAAAAAAATAGGTTCTTGAAACACTAAGTGAATAATTCGAAACTACTTCCTACCGGAATAACATAATAATGCTCCCAGCAGAAGGACGGCCCCCGAGACATTGATAGTGTAGTCAAGAAGGAGAAAAACCTAATTCCTCAGAGGACAAGCCAAAGATCTAATAATGTGTATAAAAGAGATTGTCTCTGAAACACATTTCGTCTTTGCCTTGAAGGGCTTTTGGAGGGCCACCGAACTGAAAGATATGTTTATTCACTCATTCTTCTTATGAGAATCATGGAAACCTGATTAAGGAGAAAAAAGAATCGATGAACTAAATGTATACACAAATACAAGAACGCGGTAATATTTCAAATTATTTTCTTTAATTTACTCACAGAAATCAGGCCCAGCAGCCTAATTGGTTGAACCATGCCTATCAGCTAAAGTGGTGGAATTGGATTTTACCTGTCAAAGTAAGTGAACTGGGCCCACCAATCGAAGTGATCGAATTGGACCCAACTGAAGTAACTTAATATTAGCTTGCTTTGACAAATGTTTGGGTCCAATATGAAATACCCATCTAATCATAAGCTAACGTGCTTACCAATTTTCAAGGCCAAGCCCATGTCCCATGCAAAAGGACAGCGATTACTTCGCTGATATCGGGTAATGCACCAAGTATAGATTTCATCAACATTAAAGACTTCCTATCAAAGATGTCCGAAGGTCCTTACCAACAAAGCTATAAAGATTGTATTCATTATTTTACAATGTATCATAGCTCATGTATAGAAGGAAGGAAAGAAAAAAAAAAAGAGAGAGGCCTGATATTGTCCATCTCAGTCTCGGCCAGGGGGCATCAAGGATGTTCATACATCTCTTACAAAATGGATTCAACAATATGTTTGATTATATGTTATTATAAAATTCATATTAGACATAGATAGAAACATAAATAATTCAATAATATGAAGAAAAAAAACTCTTTTAAAACAAATATATATATATATATATATCTCAGTGCCCCAAATCCCATTTCCATCTCTCCCCCACCCACCACTCTTGTACTCCTTTGTGGGCTCCATCCACTCCTCAAATCTCTCCCAAAACCACCCTCTCCATCTCCTCAGCCCAAAAATACAGAGCAAATCTCATAAAATTAGACACTAATGACTCCTTCCAATTTCCTCTTCATCATCCTCACCATTCACTCCTTCTCCATATCCCTTCCCACAACAACCTTCACATTAATCAACAAATGCCACTTCACCGTCTGGCCCGCCGTCCTCTCCAACGCCGGCCACCCCCCTCTCCCCACCACCGGCTTCGAACTCCCCACCGCCACCTCTCACTCCATCCAATCCCCTCCCGGCTGGTCCGGCCGCTTCTGGGGCCGCACCGGCTGCCTTTTCGATTCATCCAACAAGGGCTCCTGCACCACCGGAGATTGCGGCTCCGGCAAACTCGAATGCGCCGGAAAATCTGAATCACCGCCGGCCACTCTCGCCGAGTTCTCCCTCGCCGGCGGTGAGGGCAATAAGTTAGATTTCTACGACGTGAGCCTTGTGGATGGGTACAACTTGGCGATGCTGGTGGAAGGGGGGAAGGGAAGGTGCGCGCCGGCGGGGTGCGCGGTGGATTTGAACCAGAGGTGTCCGGCGGAGCTGAGGGTTGGGGAAGGGGAGACGACAGCTTGCCGGAGCGCTTGCGAGGCTTTCCGGCGGCCGGAGTATTGCTGCAGCGGCGAGTTCGCGAGTCCGTCGGTGTGCAGGCCGACGGCGTACTCCCAGTTGTTTAAGGGGGCTTGTCCGAAGGCTTACAGTTATGCTTTCGATGATTCTAGTTCGACGTTTACCTGCGCCGACGCCGGCGAGTTTACCGTTACCTTTTGCCCGGATGGGACGCCGAGGTACGTTATTTTAAGTAAAATTCAAACAAAAGGTTGGGAAAATATATTTAGCAAAATACATTTTAGGTTATATATATATA